TCGATGAATTTCGTCATAGATGTAGAGGATAGTCTGGAAGAACACATAGGCTACTCACTTTTTTTTATGGCACCCGAATGGCGTCTCGGGCGAAAGCTAGTTAAAATATAATCTAATGTAACGTTAAGTGATGGTAAAAATAAGGAGTTAAATATTCTAAAATGAATTTAGAAGAAGTAAAACTCCTAAATATCACTAACTATTTATATCCCTAACTTTTTAATGCTCACGGCAATATCTCTTATGTTGGCAACACTGCAATAGAAACCTTGATGATATAATTTCTTTTACTAAAGTGATTTATCTTACCTACCGAAATACAATTAAATCTAGGCTAATTATACGTTTTATACTTTTTAAAATATAAATCACTAAAATGCATGTGTTTCCAGCCAGGCCAGACCCTGGAGAAGGATATGGATAGTCCGGCGCTGCCCACCCCCAATATCAAGTTCGGTTGGATCAAAGGCGTGCTGATGCGCTGTCTTCTCAACATATGGGGCGTTATGCTCTTCCTCCGACTCTCCTGGGTCGTCGGTCAGGCGGGAATCAGTAAGTATTAGATAATCCACACTTAGGACCTGTCCCACCACTGGCTGATAGAGGCTCAGATAGCTTAAAAATGGTCACTGTCATACAAAGCAATAAATTGGTGGGACAGGCCATTAGAGCCCTCAAGGTCATTTTAATAACCCCTTAAGTACAAATCTTTTATACAAAATAACGGCTTAGCGATTATATTTTTAGTTATGCCAGTAAAGTTGGACAGTTGTCATGGTTTGTTCTGGTACTATGACGTCAGTTAGCGTCTATATTATGCCAGTTGTATGCTATAGCTGATTTTAACGCTGTCCTAGCATAGTGTGTACCTGCCATGTGTTGTATTCATAGTTTGAAAATATAAAAAAACGGTAATTTCTTTAACGTGAATAGTACAAGCGATGCTCCTGATTCTGACGACATCTGTGGTGACCACTATAACTGCGCTCTCAATGTCCGCTATCAGCACCAATGGAGTTATTAAAGGAGGTAAGAATTTAACAATACAATGTAACTATTCCTTGTTAGTTTTCTTCTTTGACCAGGAAAATAGAAAAATAATATTGTATCTTTCAAGTAAGAACTTTTGTGAACTAGTTTCGCAAAGGTAGATTTTGTGGAGAGATTTTTAATAAACCACCATTAACTAAACAATCGCTCAACTTTTGTGCGATTGTCGATTGTTTCGCAGCCAACTGAACTGTTTAGTTGCACAACTAAATATCGAGTAGTGTGCGCACCTTCATATAAATTCATAGGAATCAAAGTGAGACTTAGGGCCTGTCCCACCACTGGCTGATAAATTCTCAGATAGCTTAAAAATGACGTCACTGTCAGATAAGTTAACAAATCTGATATTTCTATGACATATTTTTATTTGTTATCAGACAATTACAATTTGGTGGGACAGGCCTTAAATATATGCGTTCTGTGTTTGGTCTAGGTGGTACATATTACATGATCTCGCGGTCTCTGGGGCCGGAGTTCGGAGGCTCTATTGGTCTGATCTTCGCGATGGCGAAT